TATGACATGGGCAATCGTGCAACTTTGCATTCGAGAATGACCGCTAATTCCTCCACATTATCAACCTCCCCCACTGGAATAGCCTCAGATTTCCCCAGATTTGCCTTCAAACCGGAAACCGCTTCAAAACACAGAAGCAAACGACTCAAATTCCTAATTTGCATATCGTTTGCATCACAAAAGATCAGTGTGTCGTCTGCAAATAACAAATGTGAGACCTGTAGATGACCAACCGCTAAACCTTTTAACAAACCCTCCGTCACAGCTTTTTCAATCATTCTACTGAATGCCTGCATCACAATAACAAACAACAAGGGGGACAACGGATCACCTTGCCTCGAACCTTTACTACTCCGGAAGTAACCTTCAGGGTTGCCATTAACTAAAACTGATAACGAAACCGTAGAGATACAGAACCGAATCTACTTACACCACCTATCCCGGAAGCCGCATCACCTGAGCATATACATAAGAAATCCCCAGTTGACGTGATCATACGCCTTTTGAATATCAAGCTTACACAACATCCCTGAGATCCCTGACATATTCTTGAGTCATTGCATTCGTTCGCTATAAGAACTGAATCCAAAATCTGACGCCCCTTCACAAATGCATTTTGGAACTTGGACACCACTTTTCCCAGAACCTCCTTTAATCTATTCGCCAACACTTTAGAAATGATCTTATAAACCCCACTAACCAAGCTAATAGGATGGTAGTCCTTAATATCAGTCACTCCCGATTTCTTAGGAATCAGCACAATGAATATGGCATTAAGATTTTTCATAAACCTGCCACGTTCGAAAAAATAATTGATTGTATCCATAATGTTTGATCGAACTACCTTCCAACAAGCCTTATAGAATGAGAACGAGAACCCGTCTGGTTTAGGGGTTTTATCATCTTTCATATTAAACACCACATCCCTAACTCAGGCCTACGAGCATCCTCTTCGGTGACAGTGAAGAAGTCTAGCCCCTCCAACTCAGGCCTCCACACAAACTGCTCTCGATAGAGATTCTGATAGAATCTCACCCGTTGAGTCACAATTAATGTGGCATTAAGACTTCTCACAAACTTGCATGTTCGAAAAAATAATTCATTGTATCCATAATGTCTGATCGAACTACCTCCCAACAAGCCTTATAGAATGAGAATGAGAATGTCAGCGTACTTAGCCTCCCACTCACCACTAATCAAGAATCGATCGATCCGAGATTGAACAGGTTGATCGCGATTGAATGACTAAGTAAACTCTCCCCCAATCATAGGCAAATCCATCAACATATTTTCACTAATAAAACTAGAAAACTCTTCCATAGCCCATGTTAGTCTCCCGTCACTCGACCTCTCAGAAGGAAACTTGATCACATTAAAATCACCCCCTATGTACACTGGTAAGTTCCACCAAGCCATCATCTCAGCCAATTCATCCCTCAAACCACTTCTGTTCTCATCTGAGTTAGGTCCATAAACTCCAATAAACATCCACTTAACTCTATCCCCAGCAATACTGGAAGAAAGTGATAAAGAGAATCACCCTACCCTAACCTCCTCCATTTCAAACACTCTAGTGTCAGGTGTCCCACATGACAAGCACCCCTCCTGATGCCCCTGAAGCTCCAAGAAACTGATACCCGACATGCTGTCCCCCCATAAAGATCTCACAACAGCCCTCGAAATGTCCTCTAACTTCGTTTCTTGTAAACAGACAAGATCTGCCCGCCATCCCTTAACATATTCCGGACACCTAACATTTTCCCAATTTCGTTAAGTCCCCGCACATTCCTCCCTCCCCAAAAACCCTCTCTTTGACTCACCCCCTTTACCGTCATAGTTTATTGAGCATTGGAGCCGCCTAAGCTCACGGTCCCCTTTTCTTCTTGATTTTCCTCTTGATGAATACATCCCATGTCCCTTGTTAGTCTCCAACTCCTCAAACAATTGCATAAATTTATTTTCATAACCACCGCACGACACACCCACTATCTTGCTGAATTCTTGCATTTTTTGGAGAATCCAATTTGAGACTGGAGGTTTAACGTCGAGCGCATTGACATCCACTATCTCCCCTGCATAACAACACCCAAAAGGCTCAAAGATCTGTCCTTCCCCCTCTTCCACCTGCACTACACCCTTGTCCACTATTCCTTTTGTGGCGCCATCCACCCACACAGGTGACAAACTTTTGAATGAATGATCTTCCCTTGAAGGATTTCTTGCATTATATAGGAATAGTATTTTCTTGTACAATTATGGTATCAATCTAAATGTGGTAGATATAATCAACCTAAATATGATAATTATAATTATGTATATAATTATGTTAAGTCATAATATACGTCAATCTTTGTAATTTTCATTAATCTCTACGATCTTTATGATTTAATTGGCATTCCCCTCAAATTGATGTCTGATGATCAAGAAGTAATTTGTTGACAAGAAACTGGTGTAAAAAGGACTCAAATGCCCAACTCCAATGGGCAGCCCAAAAATTATAACACGCATAGGCCACAATTCACCCTTCCAAAATAATCCCCAATGGAGAGCCCACAAAAGAACTCAAAATAAACTTAATCCTCTGTTCCACATTGTACACCACAAAAAGCTTCTGCAAATATTAACTTCCAAACAGATTTGTTATCACATCACTCTATAATTCCAACACCTCTGAAAAAACCTTCTCAAGTCTAGACCTCCTTATTGAAACTGGTATGCTTGGGTGTAAACCATGTGATACTCCTATGGACACTGGAAGGAAAACAGAGAATATTGGAGAATTTGTTGAAAAAGAGAGAGATCAAAAACTAGTGGGGAAACTAATCTACTTGTCTCATACCATACCTGACATTGTATTTGCAGTAAGTGTGGTAAGCCAACACATGCATGCTCCAAGGGAAAACCATCTAGAGGCAGTATACAGAATTCTAAGATATCTCAAAGGTTCCCCTGGAAAAGGACTGTTGTTAAAAAAGGATAAAAAAAGAGAAATAGAAGTATTTACTGATGCTGACTGGGCAGGAGCGACAGAAGATAGGAGATCAACCATTGGTTATTGTACTTTTGTATGGGGGAACTTAGTCACTTGGAGAAGTAAGAAATAAAATGTAGTATCCAGGAGTAGTGCAGAAGCAGAGTTTAGAGCAGCTGCTGAGGGAATATGTGAAGGTCTATGGCTAAAGAAACTGTTGAATGAGCTATTGATGCCAACAAAATTTCCAATTAAACTCTATTGTAACAACAAAGCGGCTATCAGCATCTCACTCAACCCGGTTCAACATGATAGAACCAAACATGTAGAGGTGGATAAACACTTCATCAAAGAAAAAGTTGAAGGTGGAACTATTTGTATGATCTACGTCCTTACTGGAAAACAGACTGCAGATGTATTCACAAAAGGACTACAAAGACAAACATTCGATGAATGCATCTATTAGTTGGATATGATCTATATCTATGATCCAACTTGAGGGAGAGTGTAGGAAATCCCGTTTATATCCTGTTTTATATGGGAAGATTGTAATTAGTATAAATTTAGGGAGTATATTTTCCTTTCCTTAGATAGCATATTCTTTTCCTTCTTTCCATCTATTGTACCATATAATATAATTGGAGGCATTGTACCTCGTTGATTATTGATTCAGAATATATAAAATTCTCTCATTACTTTCTATAGAAAGCACAGTCAAAAAAGAGGAAGAGCTTTTAGTGAATTTTGACTGCTGCTTTTTATGTTAATGATTTTCACCAAGAATAGTTTTTTAATGGAGATTACTGAGACTTTTTTTTTGTGAACAATAACTGCAAACAACTTTTTTCGTGTGGGAAGGGTTTGGCCAAAGAATGGCTCTGTACCAATTGATGTAATACGAAAGACACAATGAACAGAGAGGAAGAGATAAGAAGAATCTGAGAATATGGAGAAAAATGTAGTGATGAATTTTAGTGTCACCTGATATTTATCAATTTTCTTTATTATTCTGAAATACCATTCTTATCTGTACTTAAAATTCGTCACAGAAATAGAAAGTTTCCAAACTAAGAAATTGAGAATTATTATATTCAAATTAATAATTCTCAGTCTGTTAATATATCAAAATACAAGAAACAAATTAGAATCTACCTTCAACTTTTACGCTTCAAATAAATTTTGTTGAAGTCTTCAATGGAATCTCCATCACTTGAATTTGTTTTTCTCATTACTTCATTGTGAATTCATTTTTCTCGTTCGCTTTATCACACTCGGTAAATTTGTGCCCTAAGTTAACCTTTTGCAGTATTTATAGCTTGTTTGGGAGAGATTTTAATCCAATTAAAATTGAAAATATAGCCGTTATTGGGTCTCATTCGTCTAATAAAAGTTAACAATAACGGCTAGTTTTTTAATTTTAATCCGATTTTAATCACTCCCAAACAATCTCTTAATTTGAACGCTTTAATATGTACACAGTACACGTGTGTGTTAACACATGTCATACAGATTACTATTTATCAAAACCATAGTTCTCAAATGAATTTAATATTTTGAACCCTTACAATATTTTTGTGCGTGCATGCGAGGATATTATGTAATGTGGTACATATGGACATGTATTTCTTTCCAGATTATCATGTTCAATGATGTTCACATCTTACAGGTAGAACTAAACTCTCCATTGCATCTGAAATGCGTCTCGGCTGTCTAATGAATATCTATGTTTCTACTGCAGATTCCATTACTATACTTCTTGCTAAATAACGTCAACTAACGATTTGCCCTTACTTACCCTGACTGTCAAATGAACTAAGTTTTTTAGGCTCGTTGTGGACCTGGTTCACTTAAGGTTCATTCAAGCTCAGGTCATCAGATACAATTAGCTGACTTTGACCACGTTTAAGCTTATATAAAAACAATCTTGGCTCAAGTTCCTCTTGTTAAGGACAATAACTTCCAAATATTCTTATTAATCTAGATGTTCTAGCATGGCTCTGGTTTGGCTTGACCAGAGGAAATAAACCATGATCAGGACATACGTAGCTTGAAAGACTCACTGTGCATTTTACAGCACCTTAAATCTGGCTTGGTTTGGTTGGCTCATTACTTCCTCATTTACTCTTCTTGTTTGTCAAATGCTATGAAGTAAGGTTTTAACAATATCAATTATGATTTACAGCTGCTGTAAGGGAGCACTTGTCAAATGGCTATTTACTTATTGCAACTAGTGGGGGACTCAACCAACAAAGAACAGGAGTAAGTCTTTCATTCTCTCTCATCTATTTGTTCCTGAGACTCCGGATTTAACACCATGCATAATTATTTCTTTCTTCTCTCTCTTTCTTTTTGAGTTCAGTTTCATTTCTGTCTCAACAGACTAAAATCTTGAATATGTTTCTGACTCTTCAGATAACTGATGCTGTAGTTGTTGCAAGGATATTGAATACTACTTTGGTTGTACCAGAACTGGATCACCATTCTTACTGGAAGGATGAAAGGTTGTGATTTTGATGTAGTGTACATCACAACTACAATTAATAGTTTCACTTTATCTAGGAGTTTGTCTTTTTTAAATTATCTTTTCTAATTTCCTTTTCTAATTGTAATAGGTCTATTCTTAAATTTTATTTAGAATAGGATTAGTTTATTTCGTTTTAGAATTTAGTTTCCTTATTTTAATTTTCTTTTATTAATAATATTAGGGATAATTTGGCCTATAAATATAGGGGTATTGTACACTTTTTAATCAATCAATCATATATCAATATAAAGCAAGATTATTCCAATATAATTCTTATTACAAGAATTTCTAAACGCTTCCGCACCAAAATTGGTATCAGAGCAAGAAATTCACCTCAATTTGATGGTTGAGGACGGTTCGAGTGGCAAACAAACCACCGACAACGAACGGAGGTTTGAAAAAATTGAGCAACGACTAGAAGGGAGGGATAAAGCT